TGCCAGTCAAGGTCTTCACAAAGATCTGCATCCCACCTCTCAGACGCAGGACAAGATGGAGGGTGGACTCCTTCTGGATGTTGTAGTCGGAGAGGGTGCGGCCATCTTCCAGCTGTTTGCCGGCAAAGATCAGCCTCTGCTGGTCGGGAGGAATGCCTTCCTTGTCCTGGATCTTGGCCTTGACATTCTCAATGGTGTCGCTGGGCTCCACCTCTAGGGTGATGGTTTTCCCGGTCAAGGTCTTTACAAAGATCTGCATTTTCTCTGCAGCAGGGAAGGAGGGAAACAGAGAGAGGGGAACCACATCAATCCAGTTAGTAACTCTCAACTGTGTTTAAAGAGGTCATTTTCAATGTCACGGTGCAACGTCTTAACACTGATTTAAACCAGGCATCTCCAAACTTGGAAACTTCTGGTTGGCTGAGGAATTCTGGGAATTCAATCCCACAAGTCTTAAAAGTGGCCTAGTTTGGGAGACACCTGATTTAAACACAAGGAAAACTCCATGACAGGACCTCCATAGTTCTCTTCTTACTGTGCAATCCCCAGATTCACACTGCTGGCGCTGGACCACCGGCTAACCCCCATTAAACCAATAAAGAGTAATTTACCCAGCAGAAATGCAGTCTATCTATCCAGACTACATGTTCTTTCCTGGGAGGTCCTGAAAAGTAACCTCCACCTTCCAAGGATGGTCTCCTGGCTTCTCCAGCATGCCGCAGAGGCCACGACTAGATGACCTTCGGGAACCCCTCTCCCACCCTGCTTTTACGCCCAAGCGAGCCTTCCCGAGGTGCATTGGCTTTCATTCCCTATCAACCCCCCCCCCCCGAAAAAAAAAATCTGGCAAGGTCCGAAGGGAGAAGACCTGCACGGCCCCCGACCTCCTTTACCAGCCTCCGTCGCTTCTCGGGCCAAGAATGAAAGCAAAGCGAAGAGAAAGCGCGCGTGCGCACTGGAGGCCTATGGTTGGGGGCGGAGCTAAGGGCGCGCGACGTCAGAATGGAGACGTCACAGGCGTGTGGGCGGGGACTCGCTGATTCTCCCTGTCCAGCTTCCGGGGCGGCCATTTTGGGTCGCGGCTGACTTAAGAGCCGTTGAGGCCTTCCTCCTCCCCTCCCTTCTCTCCGTTTTAATTAAAAAAAAATAGCCTTTTTACCCCCCTCGGCCGACGCCGCCACGGAGGGGCGACCTGTCAAAACCCGCGCGCCCCGTCTACGCAGTTTCCTTCCCCCTCAGAAGCGAGGCTCCCCACCCCCAACTTCAAAATAAGGCTCATTCAAGGAAAGCCATCCCTCCCCTCAGACTAAACTTAACAGAAAACATAAGAGAAATACCACCACAAGACATAAATTTAACAATAAAGGCTTACGGCGGAGCTCGAGTGGGCCCTAGCAGACAGCAACAAATTCAAACAAGCAAGAGGCGACTTAGGTCTAACTGCGCACCCGGCTGCGGCGGCCTTTTATATAGGCGTCGCACTTGGATCCCTCCGCCAAGCAGAAAGGGAGGGATTATTTTTCGCTCGAGCGCACGCGGCCTCCCGTTTAGCCAATAGGACTGCGGGAAGTCAGAAGGGGCGTGAGCAGGGAGTGAGCCCCGCCTTCTGTGGAATGGAGCGGCGGAAGGATAAAAGGTTCGAAGCTCGGAGAAGAGAAAAATAAACGCCTGAGTGGCAGAGAGACTCGGTTGGAGTGAAAACCCGGGGTGGATTTCTTGGCTAAGACGGAATGGGCGGATAAGAGAGGAAGAAAGAGGGAAATAAAGAGTGAAGGCCAACTGCAGGATTCCTCCATGTTTCTCAACCTTGGCCACTTTAAGAGAAGGATGGACTTCAACTCCCAGAATTCCCCAGCCAGCACGCTCCAGGAGGAAACATTTGCAGGCTAGGGGAATTCTGGGAATTGAAGTCCCACCCTTCTTAAAAATGGGATTGAGGTTGAGAAACTGGCCTCATTTTGGGCAAAATGGCAGCCTCCCCACTCCCTTTCTCCAGCAAGGCCAGAGCTTTCCCCATAATAAGCCAAGTCTGCAAAAGGGGCTGCCCCACTCTACCCCCATTGCAACTTTCTGCTTAAATCTTCCTTGGAGGTGTCTGCCGCTATTGCATCAATCCAAGCCAAAAAAGGCGGCGGCGTTTCCCAACGCTTGGATTTTTG